AAAGCCAAACAAGCCAGAAACTCTTGAATGGGTTAAACGAAGACGCTGAGTCCAAACATGAAATTTGCACTTTAGTATAGTGCTTCTTTCTTAAGTTAATTAAAATTTAGGGTGACAACTGTTTTTCCAATGTTCATCAGAAATGTGAATACGCCATCAAGAAAGCTCGGAAAACTCATGAAAAGTCATGTGGTGAAATCAGCACGCCTGAAAACCTTGCCATACAAATTTTCAGATTTTTGAAAAATTATTTCATCAAAAGGTCTATTTCACAGTGACGCTGTATGCTGAAAGTTCATACCGTAATCCTACAGTAATGAAGAGCGATTGGTGATCCGCTTCACACTGCAAATCTAAGTTGAACCTCGATTTACAGAATGGCACCTTAAGCTCGACAAAAGACATGAAAGCAGGAGAGTTATTAACGATCAAACAGTGTGCACATCTTTTTGGGACACCCTGTATATAAGCATATTTTAGTTGTTCTGAAGAAATTTTGCGAAGGTGGGGAAATTCTTGATTTTAGCATATTTTAGCAAAGTTACGTCGTTGGGAAACAAGTTCCTGCAAAATTAATGTAGGCGTACGCGAAATCATGCAACTTGTTTGCTGCACGCTGCATACGCGAAATCTTAGGAAATGGGGGGGGGGGAGAAAAAGGGAGTATCTTTCTCTTGAAGGGAGTATTTTTTAAGCTATTTTTAAGTTAATGCACAATTCCTGCGCCAGAAAATAGAGAGTTCGTTTTAAAAATGCAGCGAGCGAGCGATGAAATGATTTGCACAATGTTTTTGTTATGTATATGAAAGGTTATAGTTTATAACACTCAAAAAGATTTGGGACGAAATCTTTGAGTTGAACTCAAAAATATGAAAGTAATTGTTCATACAAACATTTGCTCACTATTTTTTGACGAAAACAATAGGAATAAAATAATGCATACAAGACCAAGAATAAACTTGAGATTCAGTATGTAGATGTTTCAGTAATTAATCCAAAGTTGGTTTTTTTTTTCAACCAGATTGTATCGTTGCCATATGTTTCAGCAGTGGATTTTGATTCAAGCACATGTGGAGCACAGTTTTTTCTCCTTGTTTTGTATCGAATCAATAGATTTCATAGAAATGGGAAAGTATCAGGATTTCGGACATTGGTGCAAGATTTGTACAGCCTAATAGTAGGTTTGAAGATCAAGCAAAGACCGAGGACATGTAGCGGGAAGCGGGGACTATCTATGTCGGAAGCGCCAATATCAAGAAACTTCGCAGATAGTACACTCCAGGACGAAATTACCACCGGAGTAAATATTGGTCGAAATCGTTAGGTTGACGCAAAGACTAATGGTAGTTTTTTTAGGCCTTTCTTCAGGCCAACTTTTTTCCTTACAAAGTAATGCCACATATTGTCGGTAGAAAAATCTTTCCAGAAACTAGAAAGAGAATTCTCCAATTTTATTTAAAACAATTTCTGACAGCTTTTTGGTGCTTTCGATGAATAAGGCACCAATGAAAGAGCTGGAAGAAAAAAAGTCCGAGAGACCTAATCGTTTTGCATCCACGATTGAATTGTATAGCTGTTATAGTGCTATATCAACTGGCCGGCAAAGTCCCATCGTCACCTCCCCGCGGTGCCGCTGGCAACGGGGACCAACCCCGGCAAACAACGAGGGCACTGTCCCGCCAGGCGGAGCGACGCGCCGGGGACTGTACGAATCAGTCGTGTCACATGCATCGGACTATTAAGGAATTTTGTCAAGCTGCTAGGGCGTCCCCGGAGGCGACGCGCGTCATTGCCCGCATGGCGCGAATAGTGAGCTAGGGCTACCTGCCCCCGGACGAGGCAGGCCAAAGAAGCGAGTCCAGGAAATCCGACTAGCGACGATCAATATAGGAATGCTGACGAGCCGCAGTCGGGAGCTATGCGATAGGCTGAAGGAACGACACGTCGACATCGCATGTGTACAGGAAACGAAATGGAAAGGGAGGCAGGCAAAGGACATCGGCGACGGATATCGCTTGTACTACACGGGAGATAGCAGCCGCCAGAACGGAGTCGCGATCATCGTCAACGGTAGATACCGCGAATTAGTGACCGAGTGACGCGCATCTCAGATAGATTGATGGCGATGAAGATCGAAGCAGATGATGCCACGCTCCGAATAGTCTCGTGTTATGCCCCGCAAGCCGCATGTACCGAAGCCGAGAAGGACGTGTTTTGGAGGGACTTCGACATCCTGTTAAGGACATTCGACGCTGCAGACTACATCTTCGTAGGAGGCGATCTCAATGGGCACGTTGGCCACGAACACTATGGATTCAAGCGATACCATGGTGGAAACGGATACGGTCAGAGGAATGAAGATGGAGAACGCATCCTGGAAGCAGCAGAAGCACACGACTTGGCGATAGCGAATACATTTTTCAAGAAGCGAGAGTCACATTTGATCACGTACGCGAGTGGAGAGCGCTCAACTCAAATCGACTACTGGATGCTGCGCCGATGCCACTTGCCAGTGGTGATGAACGCGAAGGTTATACCCACGGCGACACATGCATTTGCGCCACAACACCGGTTGCTTGTATTGGATCTTCGACTGAACATCCACTTGCGGTCACGAGCCAGAAGGACGACTACAAAGAGGATCAAATGGTGGAAGCTCCCCGAACATCGCCAGCAAGTCAGAGATGCTCTTAACGATTTGAGGGTGTCGACGGATGATAAGGAGTCGATTGAAGAGCAATGGAATCGGATTATTTCGCAGATACGATCGAGGGCCGAGACAATTTTGGGAATTACCAAGCCAGGACGTCGGTTTGTAGACAAGCAGATCTGGTGGTGGTCTGAGTCAGTCCAGCAAGTGATCAAGGAGAAGAAAGAAGCTTTCAAAGCCTGGCAACGCTCACACTCAAATGAAGACCTCCGTAGGTATCGAGAACAGAACTCGAAGGCGAAGCACGCGGTAGCCGAAGCAAAGGAAGCTCACTACAAGAGACTTTACGACGAACTGAAAGGACCTGCTGGAGCGAACAAGGTCTACCGACTGGCCGCTGCACGACATCGAGCGAAGCAGGACATCGACCACGTCATGCACATTAAGGACGCAGAGGGCAACCTCCTGACGAAGCCGAGGGCAATACTCAAGCGGTGGAGTGAATACTACAAAGGGCTATTTAATGAGGAGTTCCCGCACCCGTTAATACCGCAAGGAGCCCCCACATATGGACCGGTATCTCGGATCGAGGAGGCAGAAGTTGTGCAGGCACTGAGGAAGATGTCTAGCGGAAAAGCTCCGGGACCCGACGACATACCTGCTGAAGTGTGGAAGATGATGGGGCAACGTGGAGCGGCATATCTCACATCGCTCTTTAACCGCATTATCGTAGACGGACAGTTGCCGCGAATCTGGACTACGAGTGTCACAGTCCCTATCTGGAAGGAAAAGGGCGACGTCAACGACTGTTCAACATATCGACCAATACGCTTGCTATGCCACACGATGAAGATCTTCGAACGAGTCATCGACGCACGCATTCGAAGTATAGTGGAGGTCACCCCGAATCAATGCGGCTTTGTAAAAGGATCTGGCACCATCAACGCCATCCACGCGGTACGATTGCTAATGGAAAGGCATTTGGAGAAACGGCTTCCGATTCATTTCGCATTCCTGGATTTAGAAAAGGCATTTGATCGTATACCACACGGGCTGATCTGGTATGCGCTGAGACAACACGACGTCCCAGAAGAGTACGTTCGCTGGATCAAACTCCTCTATACGAACACGACGGGCGCCATACACTGTGCAGTGGGAACGTCAACGCCATTCCCAATCCAAGTCGGAGTACACCAAGGATCGGCTCTATCACCGCTTCTCTTTATACTGTGCATGGACACGGTGACCAAGGACATCCAGCTGCCGCATCCGTGGACGCTCCTTTACGCAGACGACGTCGAGCTAGCAAGCGGATCGAGACAAGAGCTTGAAGAGGCGACTGTGAGATGGAAGACACGATTAGCGGAGTATGGCCTACGACTGAACGTAGCAAAGACCGAGTACCTGGAATGCGGAGAGCAAACCGATGGCACAATTAGCATCGATGGGCAGCCGCTGAAGAAGGTCACGATATTCAAATACCTGGGCTCCCGAGTGACGTCAGATTGCGACACGATCACTGATGCTCGTGCTAGGACGAACGCGGCGTGGCTAAAATGGCGGCAAGTAACAGGAGTACTCTGCGATCGACGAATTCCGTTGTATCTCAAGTCGAAAGTGTATCGGACTGTGGTGAGGCCAGTCGCACTGTATGGAGCCGAATGTTGGCCAGCAACCAGAAAACACGAGCAGATCCTGAGCACGATGGAGACGCGAATGATAAGATGGATACTGGGCCCAACGAGAAGAAACTGCGTCACGAACGATGATGTACGACACATTTTCGGAGTTGCACCTATCGCGGATAAGATGCGAGGTGCCAGATTAAGATGGTATGGTCACGTTTTACGAAGTGAAGATAATACAGTAGCAAAAACAGCACTTCGTCTAGATCCACAGGGGAAGAGACCACGTGGCCGTCCGAAGCAGCGCTGGTTGGACACCATTCGAAACGACCTGCACATTGCAAAGCTCAAACCACAAGAAGCAGCTGATCGAGTCAAATGGAAGCAAAAATGCACCACCGCCGACCCTGCACCCGCGGGACAATGGCGAAGATAAAGAAGAAGAAGAGTGCTATATCAACTATGAGCGCCTAATCATCCCAAGAATAAACTTGAATGTTTACTGTTGATTTGCCTAGCAACTTAATGTTAGATAAAACTATAAAATGGATATTAACCCGAATAAATTCGAACTGCTATATTTTTTGCTTACTTTCCTTTTCTTCCAACATTTTTGAGCAGTCATAAAGTCATGATGGCTATGCCTTCTTCTGATCAAATCATTTCATACATATTCTCATAACAAAAGATTTCAAAATTGAAGTCTTTACTGACAGAAGAAGAATCTAGGCACAACCGATGTCCAAGGGACAGCGCGTACTTCGATGCGAGGATTCCTCATCTTCGTTCTCAATCTGTTGCGCATCTTGTTCACCATCACCTTGCAGTTCCTCACGCTGTTGCAGTTCCTGTGCTGTTGGTGCGATTTCTTGCACCTGTTCCTGTTGGCGATCTTCCCCTTGTCCTTCGTGATGCTCGCGCTGTCCTTTTTGCGAATCATTTTTTTCTTCTTCTTCGTGCAGTTCCTCTGGTCTCTCAGGGCATTCCTCTGGAAAAAATACGAGTATTCAACATAGAGTTTCTTCACATCATGCAAATTCACTAAATTGTTAGGTTGGCAATAAAAATAATTCCGTCGTTTTTGAAAGTTCGTAGAAATGTCACAGATAACTTTGAGTATAAATTATAGGTCGCAATAGAAAGAACAAACTAAGAAGACTTGAAAGGTCAACTCCATTTTCTTTAAAGCTATTTTTTTGATGACGAAATGGCAGAAAAGCGCAAATGCCAGATTTTTTCGTCGACTTCGAGAAGTCACACTCTAAGAAACAAGTTGGAATTGGTTGTAAAATGCACGAATCGTACGTACACATAAGATTTTGACATTTTTAACTATTTGCGTGACCAAAGATAGACAAATTCAAGCGATCTGGAAAAATTCACATCCGCGGGCAAATGCCTGGAAATTTTCGCAATTTCGGCTGTAGAAAATCCCAAACATCAGATCACACTCTTGATTCGATTTGCCGTATAACCAAAAATTATGATAACGACCAAATTACTCATGCGTGCACTGACTACAATTTAAACGGAATTGGGAAAGCGAAGCTAGTAATTTTTGGAAGCTCAGCTATGTATATAAAGTCATGATTATTTTTGTCGCAAAAAAAAATTCTGTATAATGAGTATGTAGTGGTATTTGAAACTACCACATAAAAAACACAGCTAAATAGCAGTTATGTGGATGGTTATGGAGCCTCGAAGTTGTATTCCTACTAATACAGGATTACATAGGAACCAGAAGATATAAAAGTGCACCCTTTTTTTGATCTTCAAGCAAAGCGGGAAAAAGACAATATTTTGACAGTATTGTGATTTTTTCGATAGTATCGCTTTTTGGGGCTATTTTTTGACGATATGATACTGAGAATGTTCTATGGGACATGTAATCAGCATGATCTCTATGAATACTTTTTTAGAGTCTTAGGAGGAGTTACTATGTGAATCAAAGCGATTTGAGCGAATCCGTGATATTCTATCCAAAAGCTCAAAAGGTTTAGCAGATCATAGACTACATCTGACAATTTGAAGCCAGATCGTCTTTTTTTTAGGCAAACCTTCGCCTGTAATTGGTGAGGAGATGGGTAGGGGTTTTTAACACAGACGGAAAAACGAATGCTTCTACAATTTAACATAAATATACAAACCTGTGGTAAAGATAAGGCACTGTACGTCATTGTAGCCACCAAGGCAAAAAGGATAGCACCACTCAACTCCAACTATTTTTACGCTCTGTAAATCACTCACATTGTGTGGGTAAATTATTTCTATCATATCAACTTCTGAAGATTATGTGTCAAATAATTTTTCTTTACCATATACAATGTTTCTAGTTCTTCATCTTAGGCAAAAGTTGGTTTCTGTTAGACAAAAATACTAGAAATAATTCTCCGGAATTACGTATCAAAAAATTCTCACTACGAATTGCTTACAAATTCTCACTACGAATTGTTAACTGAAAGACATTCCGAGGCAGAACAATATGTCAAGATTTTCGATGACTTCAATTACATAGTACGAAAGTGAATGGAGGCGATAAAAGGATTTTTCCGATGACAATGACGTCAAAAGCAACGCCGTCAGAAGAATCCACAAAAATGCAATTTTCCAAGACATGAAGGTACGGCTATTGCCCGGATAGCATAATTAGTGATTGAATCTTCAAAAAACACTTTCAGCCATACAACGCCTAGTTGTATCACCTTCGCAGATTAACACATTGACGAAAATGCAAATTTTGAGTTGTCTGCCTTTTGGTATCAAGACCTTCCACGGATCAGCCAGCATTTTCCATATAAAATCATGTATAATGTCGTCTGCAGTGCACCTACACTAGCTCTGTGATGCTGACAGATTAGATGAAAATTTTTTTAAATTTAGCACAAAAGAAAACTTCGGAAGTGAATTTGCCCCGCTTTACTAAATTCATACCTCGACACAACATGTGTGTCAAGCGGTCCCACGTGGTAGTCATTGCTTGACACACCATGTGTGTCAAGCATGTCGTCAATGTTTTAACTTAGACAGATGACAAATCCCTGATTTCCAAAGTTGGAGCGCCCAAAAATTTGCCTGCTAATCTCTGCCCGGTCACATTACTCTCTCCTTTCCAATTCTCACTTTTCATGTTCATACCAAATGCTCGTTTTCCAGTTATCTAGAACTTCTACAACTTCTAAGCTTTTGGTGAGAGATTTTATTCATGTATAACCCTACATTTACTTTTCACTGCCATTTTCTCTTAGAAATTCAATTTTCCCTGTATCTTCTCCTACTCTGAAACTCCTTATTCCTCTAATCTTTAGTACTCCTTCGATAGTCTAGAGAGAGAGGGAGTAAAGTGAAGGTTGTCTGAGAATCAACCCCCATAAAAAGTGAAGGTGTTCATAAAAAAACCAAATAAAAGGAGAAGATGAAAGCAATTAGCAAAAGCTGAGGAAAACGCTGCAATCATTTTGGAATTTTTCGTTTGGCTTCAGTTCGAATTGCAGGTTTTTGCTTCAGGATCAGGCAATCCATAACAAGGGACCAGGTAGCGCAACAACACCTTGTCTATTGTGGGTTAAGCGCTAATCATTAATCTCTGTCATTCACCTCGATTCCGTCTGCCGGACCCTGGCGAACTTTGCTTCACATGAATAAACTCAAAATCAAAGCACCAGAAATAGCCCATTCCAATGTTTTCGCATTCTAAGCGAAATTTCTGAAAACTGCGGGAAGGATCAGCCAAAAGCAGAAAATTTAATCAAAATTTGATGGAACGCTGCTAAAGCTCATGGTCTAAAACTCGCGGTAAGAAATGCGAGTGCTGCGCTTAAACAGAGATTTGGAAATATTTGCTAACAATCAAGTCATCGACGGCTACTTGAAGCAGTGTTCGGACAGAAACTCGATCTTGAGATTTTGTGCTAACCCGGGCCTACATTTTTAGAGCGGAAAACGGCTGAAAACGGCTCTAACACAGGAGGGGAATTAGCAGGTGGACGGGGTTCTCCCTCCTCCCCACAGTGAATTCACGCCAGATTCCGGAGCGATTTTTTCGCTCCTGGTTTCGAGTCAATCATTCGCACTTGGCCGGTGATGCTAGGACGGCTAGCGGAATCGAGAAGACCGCTCCAGAAGCTGGGAGCATGAATTCACAGTGGGGAGGACCCCTCCCACTTGCTGTTTCCCTCCTGCGCTAAAGCCCTTTTTTTGCCGTTTTCGCGCCTTCCAGTGTGGATTTTCGGATTTAGCATGGCGAATAGGCCCGTATTAGCACAAACTGTCAAAACCGAGTTTTTGCCCGGACTCTGCTTTTGAGTAAATTTGCTAGCGTAGCTCATTTCCCTGCACTACCTTAAATCCTTTTTTATACAGGGTGTCCCAAAAAAAAATGCATCGAACGTTTGATGGTTAATATCTCTCTTCTAAAGAAGTGTTTTCCCTTGCTTCAGGTACCAATCTGTAGAGCTGGCTTTAGGCTACGTTCATACTGATTCCCATGTTCTGGAACTGTTCCCGCACAGTTCTCGCACTGTGCTGAAACTATGCGGGAACTGTGCGGAAACTGTGCGGGAACAGTTCCAGAACTGTGCTGCATGCGCTGCAGTCGCCCCGCACCGTTTTGAACGGCGGGAGTTGGAGAATTTTGACCGTTCTCAACGGTTTTTCTTCCAGATTTCGCTCATTTTGGCCTTAATCCTCCACCCCGCTTCCCTTTTTGATCAGCAGCACTGCGAACTCGAAGCGGGGTTGAAGAATGAGCGCTTTTCTGCGCCGTGTATTCGGAAAGATGGGCTATCGCGCGATTGTTCATTCTGTCTTCTTGTTTTTTGCTCAAAACTACTTCATTTGTTCCAGGAAGCGGCTGCCCAGTTTCCATAGCCATCTGCCACGAATTAGGGAGTAGGAGAAAGCCTGAAATTGCATAAGTTGGGACTTGTCTCTTGTTTTTCCTGATTTTGGGCGTTCTTAGCCTTGTTCTTTTCCATGTCGTTGCTTCTCCGTTCTTTCTTCTACCCCGCTTCTCCTAGTGATGCGAAAAGCTGTGAATTTGAAGCGGGGTTGAGAATTGAACGCTGTTCTGCTCGATGTATCCGGGAATATGGGCCTTCGTGCGCTCGTCCATTCTCTCATCGCTATTTTTGTTCAGACCTATTTATAAACAGTTAGTTCAAATAGTTAACATAATCGAAGTGCAGAAAGAATAGAGAAGTTCAAGAAAAAAGAGGCAAAAAAGTAATCGATAACAAAATACAGTGCTATCATTTGACGTCCGGTATCCGCAGTCGTTGAAGTATGTCGACTTTTGAAAATGCTTTTCTGAAGTTGACAGGATTTTTCTGATGTAGAAGTTCAGTGGGTAGACTTTCAATCCATTTGGCTGTTCTGAAAGCAAATGTGCTCAACAAATAATGTGATGTAGGTAGTTTAGGATGTTCTAGAGACTTGTCTATTTCAATTTTAATACAGATGCGAGACTACGCAGCGACTTGTTAGTACACATGAATAGGTCTGAACAAAAATAGCGATGAGAGAATGGACGAGCGGAAGGCCCATATTCCCGGATACATGTAGCAGAACAGCGTTCAATCCTCAATTCCGCTTCAAATTCACAGCTTTTCTCATCACTAGGAGAAGCGTGGTAGAAGAAAGAACGGAGAAGCAACGACATGGAAAAACGAACAAGGCTAAGAACGCCCAAAATCAGGAAAAACAAGAGACAAGTCCCAACTTATGCAATTTCAGGGTTTCTCCTACTCCCTAATTCGAGGCAGATGGCTATGGAAACTGGGCAGCCGCTTCTTGGAGCAAATGAAGTAGTTTTGAGCAAAAAACAAGAAGACAGAATGAACAATCGCACGATAGCCCATCTTTCCGAATACACGGCGCAGAAAAGCGCTCATTCTTCAACCCCGCTTCGAGTTCGCAGTGCTGCTGATCAAAAAGGGAAGCGGGGTGGAGGATTAAGGCCAAAATGAGCGAAATCTGGAAGAAAAACCGTTGAGAACGGTCAAAATTCTCCAACTCTCGCCGTTCAAAACGGTGCGGGGCGGTTGCAGCGCATGCAGCACAGTTCTGGAACTGTTCCCGCACAGTTCCCGCACAGTTTCAGCACAGTGCGAGAACTATGCGGGAACAGTTCCAGAACATGGGAATCAGTATGAACGCAGCCTTAGCTTAGATTTGCGTTACAGAACAAATCACTCATCTCTCTTTATTACTGTAGGATTACTGTAGAAACTTCAAAAAGGGTTTTGAGCAATGAAAAGCCATATTTTGCCCCAGAAAGGAAACAAAACAGCCTGAAAACTTTTACACCAGGCTAATTGGAATTGCTGATCATAACTGTAAAGTTCCCAGTTTATTATGATGCTTCATTGAAGAGTTATGCCAGGTAAGAGGTAGCGGCCATTTTTTCAATGTTCCTAAAAAGTGTGGTTACACCGTTTAGAAAGCTTATAATCTTGTAAATAGTTCACTATTGAGCTCAACGTCCTTAAAAACCTCAATACACAAGTTTTCACATTTTTTGAAAAATTTTAAAACGGCAGCTTTTCCACATTGTCACCATATGTTTCAAGTTTCTACCGTAACTACAGTAACGAAGACAGATGGGTGATTCGTTCTATAATGCAAATCTAAGCTGAAGCCAGCGCTACAAAACGGTACCTGAAGCAAGGCAAAAGACTTCTTGGGAAGAGAGATATTATCGATCAAACGTTCGATACATTTTTTTGAAACACCTGTATATCTTCACATCTGTGCAATGCTTGCATTCGCTTCAAAAGTTTGTAAAACTTTTGCGACCTCTATATACGAGAAAACAACTAAAGCTGTAGGCTATTGTGGCCTCGCAACATTCCTGCCTTCAGCAAGATGAAAGAGAAATGTGCAACTTTTCGAACAGAAAGACTACTATCTAGAAGAAAAAAAAAACCGACCTCATTGCATTGGTCGTCCAAAGTTTCTATGATGTCTTTCTCTACTTCACTCACGTTTTTGTAGGTTCCTGATGTAAAAATGATAGGGTCTCCGGGAAGGGGATCAGTTCTGGAATGTGACAAGCACTATAAAAACAGTGTCGTTTGTACAAAGCCTACTTCGAGTTAACAGTGACATAAGTTTTATGCTTTGTAGACGTCTCGTTTGTTGTCTGCAATTGTATTAAGATGGATAAACCATTTACTGTATGCTCGATAGACGTGCTCGTAGATTTAGCATGAACAGCGAAATTCACCTTATTTCTTCCACTGTAATGCGAGAGTATGCCTGATTCTAGAAGTTCCTGAAATTCGGTCATGACTGTCACATTACAAGGCCAGTCAGACAACCGAACTTCTTTTTCGGCAATTGATGATTTAAGCAGGCTCTAAATTGCTGGAAAATATGTGTAGCAACTCACAGCATTTGGGACCAACCGCAAAAATTGCTAGCCTTACAAGCATGGCGACATAAACACTTCTTTCCAAAACAGTATTTATATGGACATCGCAAAGAGCCCACCAAAATAATACCGCTTCAGAAATAAATCTACTCAATTTGTGGTTTCAACAGAGGATAGCAAGTGCAGGTAAACAAAACACGCTTATCAAAGGCCACCTGTAGGTGGTAGTCAAGGCGCACTTTAAAATTGCACTGGCCAGTATTAATGTTCTACAAGTGCACTAATGTACAACGCTTTAGTTTTGAAAATGACTTTATGAGAGCGACATCACAGCAACAACGCTATAACGCTAAAACTTCTTGAATTGAAAATACTTCCGCTTCTACTTAGTGGCACTCAACTAATGTAACTTTCTTCCACTTCCCTATTGCTTATGGTGTCTCGAAGTTTGCCCTTATGTATTGATAAATGAATTAAAGACTTTTTTGCAAATGTTTAATTTTCAAACGAACGTACTCGTTTTTCGAACCATTTAGATTTGAGGTTTCGTTTGCAGCAAAAAAATAGCCATGCTCAACCAAGACCAAGCGCGCGATTTAGATTTGTCGATAATTTTATTCTGATCTACCTTCTCAATAAAGCCAAAGGTAGATCAAGTTCTGGCTTTCTTGAAGGTCAAGGGAATTTTTTAAGTAACTGTGAAGCTGCCCTATGCTGCAATGAGCACTAATTTCATCAACAGCATATGCAGAGAAGTTTTGCGAGTTACTCTCTGTTTCATCCTATTCCGCAGACGCGGTCCGATAACTAGACTTTCTTTAAGACTAATAAGGGGTGAGGATCTGGATAATTTGCAAGTTGTCGTGTACAGTCTCCTATCCACCCCCCCCCCCACGTTAAGTTCAATAAGAGAAAAATTATAGAAGTTGCATCACTTAGGTTGATCTGATATTCTCTTCATAAGATTCCATATATCACATCAAAGTGCTCTAATTCAACGCAGTGATGTACACCACCGCTCATAATTCTCCAAAAAAATTGCCGCACTCCGGCAGAGTGTGCAGAGTGCGTCGAAGTGCACTGGAGCGTGGCGCAGAGCAGAGGAGTGCGCCGCTCACCACTGAAGTGCGCCGGAATCCGCGTCGCAGTGCCATACCTCACTTCAGAATGGATAAATTTCGAATCCGAGGCATAGTTGCGATAGGGGGAGTGATGGACCTTACCCCCTTCACTTTGAGGCCAAACTCCCGATGACCCCCTTCACCTGGGCCTGAGATTGGTATTGTACTCTGAGAATATGATAAAAATCGTTATTAAAAGGTTTTGCAGGCTAAGTACCTCAAACAACAAGTACACTCATAAATTTACAAAAGAAACGGTATTTATGTTTATTTATATTATTTATTTATCCTCGTAGCATTCATTTGGAGAGCAGAAAGTGAGGACAAAAATGCAGTTGGTTTTTGGGGTACACAAAATCCCTCATATCTCGCGGCACAGAAGACCTAGAGAAAAGTCGACGGTCTACGTCGATTCTACATGATCTCAGCTTTCGAATGATATAAAGCACGCTAGGGCTTTTTCGCTTCCCGGCTCTAAAAATCATTTGCCTCGGTGACCCATAAAAGCCAACACATTGGTGGAGCTGGGTGGAGCAAGCTAATAGTAAATACCTCCACCCCATTTTTGAAAACTAAAAAGTTTATTCACCCAGCAACCTATACACCATTCGAAAGCTTAGGAAAAGGGGATTCGACCTAGGCCCTCGATTCTATCTAGCCCCCCTCTACCGAGAGATACACCGCATTTTATCTGAAAACATGTCCGTTCTCAACACCAGATTTCTGCCAAACGAAGACCTAATCATTGCTGATTATCTATCTGTGTGATAGAGCAAGTCTTCATTAACAAACGTAAACCGTCGACTTTCTCGTAGCACTCATTTGGAGAGCAGAAAGTAAGGACAAAAAAGCAGTTGATTTTTGGAGTACATAAAATCCCTCATATCTCGCGGCACAAAAGACCTAGAAAAAAGTCGACGGTCTATGTCGATTCATGTTAGGGCTTTTTGCTTCCCGGCTCTAAATATCATTTGCCTCGGTGACCCATAAAAGCCAACACATTGTATGGTTCGTCCCGAAAGTTTTTGAGCACGATTTTTGAAAATTCATAACTTCTGATTTTTCCAACCATTTGACTGCTTTCACTTTTGTGTGAAAGGATAAGTCATGCTCTTTATAATGGCATCTCAGCTGCTTAGTAATTATCATCTGTTGCATAGATGGGAACGATAGAAGAAAATTGGTCAAAATTTGAATTTTCTGTGTAGAGTCATGAAAAATCGGACACTTGCAACAAAAACCGGAGCAATTAGTATTGTAAGTTGCTCCACCAGCTCTTTCTAACAGTGCAAAGTTTGCGCTGTTAGAAAGAGCCGGGTGAGGGTCTTTATGAAAAGTTATGATTTTCGAGCAAGCGATACGAAATGGCGAATTTGGTTTATTTCGGCATTTTTCAGGGAAATTATAACCTTCCATAGAAACGCTCAATCGGCGAAAACTTTGCACTGTTAGAAAGAGCTGGTGAACAAAAACCTAAAAAAACCTACAATACTGACTGCTCCGATTTTTGTTGCAAGTCTCCGATTTTTTATGACCCTACACAGAAAATTCAAATTTTGACCATTTTTCTTCTATCGCTCCTATCTATGCAACAGATGACCATTACTAAGCAGCTGAGATGTCATTATAAAGAGCATGAATTACCCTTTCACATAAAAGTGAAAGCAGTCAAATGGTTGGAAAAATCAGAAGTTATGAATTTTTGAAAATCGTGCGCAAAAACTTCCGGGACGACCTAATAAGAGCGAGGTGGAGCAAGTTGATAGTAAAAAATGTGCTGTGGATTGACATCGTTATCAGCACTGACGGGAACTTGAGCGAACGCGTCTATTCAAACGTGCTTAACGCTGTTATATCATTATGTTTTTTTGGTAAAAAATGCGCTTTTGATTGACAGTTATGCCATCATTATCAGCGCACACTCAAAAAACTATGGGAGATTGGTGAATTTCCACACCTTCACACAAAAACCCGCCCACTTCTGGAATCTATACTTTGTAAACCTAGTGCTGAAGAAGGTCACTTTCGTGAAAACGCTCTAGACTCACCTTACCTAATTTGTAGAGAATGGTTGGTTTCATTGAATCAAAAACTTTAAGACATTCAGAAGAATAACATGTTATTAAATAATGTTTTGGATCCCTCAATGTTTTGGAAAGGTTGACAGTTTGAAGAGGAAACGGCAGGCAGAATACTTTACAAGATTGCAGATGAATCGCATGTGTTCCAGTTCAACAGCGAAGCAGAAGGAAAATCTTACGCCGACGAAAATGTCGTCGACATTGATACAAAGTTGACAATTGAGCGAAACTCTCTGATTTCCTACATAAAGAATTCAAGCAGATTGCCTAGTTTCAATGAGGAAATGTTCAGGAAGTCCATTGCTGATCTTCAGATTGCTGAAGATTTCAAGGCTGCTAAATTCACAAACATGGATATGAACAAAAGGAAGGTGCTAGTACAAAGCATAGCTACTGCTCTTAGATCCCGACTGGAGTGCGAACCCAACTCTGTGCTTTATGCTTTTGGAAGTTATTCGCGTTGTGACATTATGACCTATGATATTGAAAAAAACCAACGCGCTGCATAGTATCTAGTTTTTTCGGCTATTCCGCAGATGTTGTTAAAGAAGAAGTTGAGCAGCTTTCATCAGCTAACAGGACGTATGCCAGAAGAGGTGAAGCCAGAGTTCGACAAGGCCCAAAAAAGTATGCACTATTTCTCCTTCCCGTGTTGCGAAAGCATATGCGATCTGGCTCTTTTCCCATTACTTACCGCAAAAATCTGATGGACTTACTAGCAAAGCTAGTTTCCATTCCGACTAACACGGCAGAGGTGGAAAAAGAAATTTTCTATCTACTCTGTTATCAGAACACAACGCAGGAGTCGTACAACAATGGAGCATCTAAGCAATTACTTAAGGTTTGTCAACCTTCTACTAAACATATTGTTATCTAAAAACTTCATTTGAAGGATTGGCATAAGTGGTCCAGACAGGCTGTTACCGTATGACTTTTTGAAATATCCTAAAAGATGGTATGAAGAAACTGGTCACCTACCTGCTGACTTTCCTGGTTGCTACCAGAGGGCCAGGAAAAAATCACAAAAGCGCTTAGAAGAAGAAGAAAGTTTCAAATCCATTTTCGACTCAGAACCTTGCGCACGCAATTCTACTTCTACTCCGATGACCTTTTGGAGGAAGAAAAAGGTTTTTCAGGCAGCCAACTTGTGTCTCTGACGTTAGCGATAGTGATATTGTTGTTGATGATGATGTGCAGGAATTGAAGTTGTTCCTAACTTGTACATCTTTTGAGTTACTTATTGCTTTCGTTTTTTGTTGATGCTATGAAACAGGAGCACAGGTGCTATAAGGTGAGAATGACTCCTCCAGGGTGAAGGGGGTCACAGTGTCGCAGCTCCTCCAGGGTGAAAGGTGTTTTGCTTGGTAGAGATATCATACAATGTCGAGGGGGGGGGGGGAGAGCCATCATTTTCCTAGTCAAAGTTCATAATTTCAATTCCTTACCATCACTGTTTGTCTTTTTTATGAAATGGGAACCTATACGCTGCTGGATTAGCACACAGTTATATTTCTGACCAGCACCTTGTATTTTTTTGCATTTACTTTTCCTTTTTTACATCGCCCTGCCTGTTTTTGAAATTGCCATAGAAGATGTGCATGCGAAAACATTGTTTCGGAAAGAGTTAGACATTAAGCATTTACGAATTTTTTTTTCAAAGAAGAAATTTGTAATTTCTGTAGATGAACAGCAACGTCAGCAAGGTAAATGTTAA